GCCTGACGGACCACAAGACAATACCCTTCAGTGATCCAAAATCTTCTAGCTTACAATCTAAACACAATGGATATGAGAAAAGCAGAAATACATGAGAATAAGCAGAACCCTGTGGCCCTCTTATAAGGAGGAAACTCCGTAAACAGACCCAGGACCACAAATGATGGGGCTGATGGGAGTTAGTTAGTGGACAAGGACTTGGAAACAGCTCCTATGAATAAATTTAAGGTTTTAAAGGCAAACGTGAAGACAGGAAAAAAAAAAAAAAGAAATGGAAATTTTTTTAACAGCAGCTGAAAAACACAATATCTGAAATAAAAATTTCACTGGATGGGTTATAGCAGATTAGACGTTACAGAAGAAAGGCTCACAGAACTCGAAAACCAAGCCAACAGGAGATACCCAAATCAAAGCAGAGGTAAGAGGCTTAAAAAGCAAGTGCTCCTTGGTATGCAAGGAGCACATGAGCCGTAAATCACACACGTAAGCTGGAGGCCCGGTGTGAGAGGTGAAAGCAACGGAGACAAGAGAACAATGTTTGTTGATGTAATGCTCACTTTGTTTCAAATTTGATAGGAAATATAAACTCACTGCTCCAAGAAGCGTGAGAACCCCAAGCAGAATAAACACTGAGGGTACCACTCCAAAGCTCAGTTAAACAAACTGCTGAAACCAGTGCTCAAGAGAAAATCTTACAGACAGCCAGAGAGAAAAACACTCATTACAGATGGGGAACCACAGTAAGAAGGGCCACTGTCACCACATGACAGCCAACACAAGCCAGAGACAACATAACGTCTTTACAGTGCTGAACAACAAAAATACCTAAAATTCTATGTACAGCAAAATTACACTCCTGAAATATAGATATTTTCAGTGAAAAAAATCAGGAAATTGAAATGAGCATGATAAGAAATGTAAAAGCCAAGTTCTCTAAAGGAAGAAAGATGATACTAAAGGAAATTTGGATCTACACCAGAAATGGTAGACATAAGACTTCTCATTTGAAAACTCTCAAAAGCAACTTACTATTGAAGATAATGGTTGGAAAATTACAGCTGATGGGCCAAATCTCGCTTGCTTGTTTTTATACAGTTCGAAAGCTTAAAATCTTTTCACATTACTTCAAATGACCAGAAAATTATCAAACAAAGTATATTCTGTGGCACAGGAAGATAATATAAAATTCAAATTCTGTGGCATGAGACAAGGAGATTAAACGTTATTGAAACACAGCTAACTCGCGGAGCTCTACCCTGTCACGTGTGCGCGACAGCAGCAGGGCTGTGTGACAGAGACTACAAGGGCCCTCAAAGCCCAAAGTATTTACCGTCATCAGGCCCTTCGCAAAAAAACTTTGCCAACCCCTGGTTTAAAGTAAAAATAAGAATCACATATTATGAGATTTAAAACCTATGCATAATCTCAAAAGATTATACATTATAGGTAATATTCTTGACATGACCAACCATTTCTGTGACTCTCTCAAAAAAACCAAAATGCAGAGACGGAGACAGACGAGCGGCCAACAGGGGACAGAGCCAGAGGGCAGGGTACAAAGTGATGGCATGAGAGAGTTCCTCTGTGGCGATGCACCAATTCTGTATCTTGACAGAACAGAACTGCATAAAACTATACACACGTACAAACAAATGAGCGAATGTAAAAAAATGGTAAAAGTGATAAAAATTGTATTAATGTGGGGCACCCAGGTGGCTCAGTTGGTTGAGCGTCCAACTCTTGGTTTCAGCTCAGGTCATGATGCCAGGGTCATGGGATTGAGCCCTGCGGCAGGCTCTGTGCTGAGTGTGGGGTTTGCTTTAGACCCTCTCTCGCTCACTCGCTCTCGCTCGCTCTCGCTCTCTCTCCCCCTCTGCCCCTCCTCTACTCGTGCTCTCTAAAAAAAAAAAAAAAAACATACTAATGAATTAACATATACTTTACTACAGTCATCTTTGGGGGGGGAATTGGGGTAAGGGTACATGAAAGTCTATGCACTATAAAAAGTTTAAAAATGTACAGAAGACACAAAACAATAACAGCAAAAATGATGGGGAAAATTAAAGTTCACTGCTATGAGGTTTCCACATCAAACATAATGCAGTATCGTACTATCTGAAGGCAAACTGTGGTAACTTAAAGGTGTATACAGCAGTATCAGGCAAAGCCAACTTTAAGACAAGGAGTATTACCAGATTTTTTTTAAAGGGAAATCCCATAATGTTAAAAGGGTCAATTCACCACTAAACATAACAATCCTCGACGTATACACACCTAACAACAGAAGTTCAAAAATATCTGGAGCAGGGGCGCCTGGGTGGCCCAGTTGGTCAAACACCTGCCTCTTGATTTTGGCTCAGGTCATGATCTCACAGCCATGAGACAGAGCCCCGGGTTGGGCTCCACACTGACAGCACAGAGCCTGCTTGGGATTCTCTCTCTCTCTCATTCTCTCTCTCTCTCTCTCTCTCTCTCTCTCTCTCTCTTCCCCCACCGTGCCCTGCTCATGTACACATGTGCACTCTCTCCCTCAAATAGTAAATAAAAAATAAAACTTTGAAAAAGTTAAAAAGATATCTGAAGCAAAAACTAACAGAACTGAGGGAATAAATAAAAACATTCACAGTAACATGTGCAGATTCCAACACTCTTCTCTCAAGAACTAAGCACAAGTCAAAAGAAAACTGGGAGAACAGCCCTGTTAACACCACTGATACTCCTGGAGCAGCAGCTGCAGAACAGACGTGGTTTCCAACACACGTGGGATAACAGCTAAGCAAACGACACAGAACACGCTCCATTCTCATCACCGGAAGTAAACCGGCGGTAGCGACACTGTATGTTCACGTCCTAATAATCTTTTTTTTAGTAATTTATTTATTTTAAAAATTTACCTCCAGGTTAGTTCGCATATGGTGCAACAATGATTCCAGGAGTAGATTCCTTAAACCCTTACCCATTTAGGCCATCCCCCCCCCACCACCCGTCCAGCCACCCTCAGTTTGTTCTCCATATTTAACACTCTCTTCTGTTTTGTCCCCTGCCCGTTTCTATATTATTTTTGCTTCCCTTCCCTTGTGTTCATCTGTTCTGTGTCTTAAAGTCCTCATATGAGTGAAGTCACAGGATATTTGTCTTTCTCTAATTTCGCTTAGCATAATACCCTCTTAGTTCCATCCACATAACGTCCTAATGATCTTAACTTCATGTAGAAAGCCACAAAGTTGAAAAGGAAAAAAGTAAAGATCAATTGTGAGGACGAGTTCCTATCTTCACAGAAATTTTTCCCGTTATTCTGGTTATGTAATAAAGTCATCAATATGGCTGCAAATAAATCACACTAACAAAGTCTGAAATTTTAGTAAACTTTATACACTGGAACTGAAATGTTCTGTAATGTAAAAATTCTTTCATGGTTAAGATACTTTTTTTTATCATGGGAATCAATGTGAAATCACTCATGTGAAGAGTGAATATGGAGAGAGAATCACATAAGAAAATAGAAAAAATTACTTAAACAATACCTGGTCCCTAAGTTTATCCCGTAGGTTCTTTTGCTTCTGTTTTTAAATTAGCATAAGCATCTTTCTTGTGTCTTTCTTAGGACCCATAAGCCTCTGAAGCCTGACAGCACACATGGGAAAAGGCAGTATGTCCTGGGCAGTGCCGGGAATCTAATAAAACTGGATTCAAAGAACTCTGCCACTCCATCTCCCACCAAAGAAAAGAATGATTACAGCATTTTAATCTGACAATTCTGTCACCACCTTTAGGTCAGGTAAATGTTTACTTTCCGGAATAACAGAATAATACTAACACCAATACTGTATTGGTATGTTTGGAAATAATGGGAGTTTAGGCAGAAGGACCAAAGACACGCTTTTATTGGGACCCTGCTGCTTCTATCTCCAGTCCTGGTCACAGTGTGAGAGGCCCCGTTTCTCATCAAAGCACTCTCGAGTCAGACAGCAGTGTCCCAGGAGGCCTGTCTCGGGGGAGCAGGACCTTACGCAGGAGGTGACCCATGTGTCATGTGTCCCTAGTCTCTACTATGAAGTGCTCTTCTCCACTCATGATGCCCCCCCAAACTGTTCCGAAAAGAGAGCGATAGGGTCTAATTAATTTTATACCTGGCGTTGAAGGCCCCCAGATTCTCTGTTCTGGTCACTGACAGTCCTCCCCCTACACAATTGTTGCTACTGCACAATGAAAATATTGATAGGAAACGACAACTACTCTAAAGGAAAATTTCGTTTATACTTTAAAACATGATGTACTAGGGGCGCCTGGGTGGCGCAGTCGGTTAAGCGTCTGACTTCAGCCAGGTCACGATCTCGCGGTCCGTGAGTTCGAGCCCCGCGTCGGGCTCTGGGCTGATGGCTCAGAGCCTGGAGCCTGTTTCCGATTCTGTGTCTCCCTCTCTCTCTGCCCCTCGCCCGTTCATGCTCTGTCTCTCTCTGTCCCAAAAATAAATAAACGTTGGAAAAAAAAAAAAAAATGATGTACTAGATTTTATGAAATTATTTTATGAAAATCACATTTTGAGGGGGGAGTAAGTAGGCACTGTCTTCTAATAATAAACATACCCCACACTCCTGCAGGAGAAAAGGGTTTTCACATTTTTAAAAACCACCAAACCTTCTAAGGAAGAAAAATACAAAACTAAATATAAATAAATAATTATTATATGAATTATTATTATAAATTATGAAGTAATAAATTAAATATAAATAGATAAAACATAAGATTTTATAACAACGATGCACTCTTCTTTTAATGAGTACTGATCAACCGTTTACTAATTAGAGAGAGATGCCCCCTGGCATTTTCCCTTAATGCCGTACAGATGTGACTGGTTTTCTCAAGGACAGATTTTAAAGACAAACAAACCCCTTTCCAATCGTCTCCACGTCCTGAAAGAATGCATTCCACCTCATTTGGCCCGTTTCTCAGACTCCAACTCCAGAGAGCACTGCTGCTAAGCGGCCCGCCCCACTCACCTTCGCCGCCCCCCAGCAGGAGGGAGTAAACGCGCTGGCGCACGGGGCGGTAGACGAAAGCCTGGCTGGGCAGAGCCTGGTCCAGCGCGTCCTCCAAGGTGTTGCTGCATTCGATCTCCCCGCTGCTCATGATGTTGTACACCAGGTAGCTCTCTGCCTGGACGTGATGTGCTCTAGCAATCTGTTCAAAATTCAGATATGACTGGTTTCTCCTTGAAAACAAAACAGTAACCTCTAAAGAGAAAAAATCAACACCCCTGTATCACATGCCAGTGTTTTTAGGCTCTCGGAAATGGAGCAACCGTCCCTCAAGCTCATGACATCAAGCTGGCGTCTCTGTTTTCCTTCCTCGGGGCATCTGGGCTTGAAATCGTCTTATTCCTCCTCCACCTCGAGCCTCCCAATCACCAACAGACTTAGCACACAGCGTGTTGTCTGTCCGATGACAGGCATTACTATGAAAACGTCCGACTGACTTCGGCCCATTCCTCCCCTCTCCAGTCCACCCTCCACAGCACCCACAGCCTGTGTTCTTAGAAGAAGGTCCAGCCACTGCCCTCCCCAGAGCGTCTGAATGGCTACCACAAACCTTCACCCTAACATTCAAGGCCCCGGTGTCCTCTTTCCAGTCCACCAACACACCCGCTAGAGACCACTGCCATGCGGTCACAGTGGAACAGCTCCATTGTTCCTCAGGCATAGTCAAGCCTTCCCCAGCCTCACCGGGGCTCCCGGAAATGCACCCCTTCTGGGCCTCCCCACCCCCCACCTCACAAGCCCCTCTCCCGTGACGGTTCACCTCAAGTGGCACCCTGTCTTCTGCTCCCAACTAGAACCCACCTTCCCTTGCCTAATGGTGCTTCAGGCCATACACAACTGGGAAATGAGCGTGGGTCGGGAACCAGCAGGGGCCGGGTCAAGACGGGAAAGGCAGAGAGCCCAGGGTGATGCTGCCTCGTACTCCACACGAGTCCCGGGCTGGCTGAAAGGCAGACCTTGCCCTCCTCTAGGCACTGAGGTACCCTGCAGGCTCCACTTCTGCACTGCCGTCCTTTGCCCATGTGCCTTTCCCTGTCCTGTCCTTCAGGCAAACTGCTACGGTGGCTCCAAGTTCTCTCTCTGAAGCCAGGCCTGAGCAGGAGCTGACCAATTCTTCCGAGCTCGCACTTCTAGACTACTGACCACGACCAACCCGCCTCTCCCCATGCGAGAGGGAGCACAGATGTGATCTTGTAAAGGGTCAGACTTGCAGTTAGAGGCTTGAGTTCAAAGCTAGGGTCTGCCAAGTACTGGCTGTGTGACTGCAGGCAATGTCATTTAGCCCTTTCGCAACATGTTCTCATGTGAGGAGGGAGGCAAGCGTGTCTACCGAGAGCTGCGTGACAATTAAGGCCGGCGATGTGAGGCACAGCCTCCAGTAACTACAAACAGCCGTACAAAGATACGTCAGTGGAGAATCATCTCTGCATGGTCCGTATTAAACTAGCATTCTCACATCCAGCCTCATGATAAAACCAAACCAAATAAACAAGCAGAATCAGATTTAGGTCTTCTCTGTCCACTTCCCTCACTTCGAGTGGAGTCTGCTCGGATGGTGTCCAAGTCTGTGTTGAGAGCAGGCCTTTCCCCATGCGTACCTCTCCTTCTCTACTGTCCAAGCACACTTCCACCTGGGGTTCAGATTCTGCCCTCCCTCCAATTTCTAACCCACGTTCTTTTCCTTCCATGAAGCACCTTTTAAGGATGCTTCCAGGTAGGATAATTTTAACTCCTTAATACTTTTTCACCTGTAATTCTCTTAAAGTACATATTGCATTCTACTTTTTACCGTAATTTTTTATGTTACTAAAGGAACTTATCTGCTACAATGTATGTAATGGAGGAAGAGGTGAAGGACTTCTCAAGACAGGGGAACCCATGTAGTTGTACGGGACGGAGGGAAGGAGCCACCAAGGGAAAGGCCCTAAAGGCACGAGGGAAAAGGAATACTGCCTTCAAGATTCAGTGAGACACAGTGTGACGGGCACAAGGGGCTCAGCAGTGGGAGGAACAAATGAGACCCTGCCCTCGCGGCACCGTCCCGAGCATGACATTCCAGTGAGGCATGCGCTACAGCAGGTGGGTGGCTGGTCAGGGCTTCTCTGACTGAGTGACCGCCCAGATGGGACAGAAGACTCGTAGCCATGAAGCAGCAAAGGGGCAGGGGAGGTTCCCAAGAGGCAGAGGAGCACATGCCGGGCCATGACAGACAAGGGACTGACCAGGCCAGAGAAGTGGCAGTGGTGAGGTGATGGCAGGCCGTGGCCTGCTTAAGGCTACTGTTTCTACCCTAAGAGTTACAGAATAAGGCTTCATTTCTGCATGCAGCATGGCCAATGGACCAGAAGGGGCAAAAGTCTACACGGAAGAGTTGTCAGCCATTCCTGAGTAATTCAGACCAGAGACCACATATGCTAGGGTGATGAGACTAACTGACTGGGTACAAGTAACAAGACAGGGAGAGAACAGTTACCAGGAGTGGTAATTGCTAGGTTTGTAACTTGCGCACCTGGAATGGAAGATGGTGACACTCTGTTAGGAACGGAAGGTTTGTGGGTAAGAGACAACACGTGTAACCTCCCTAGCCTCACACGTAACACGTGGTTAATCAATAGCAGTCCTCCGTAAAACCTCTGAAGGGCTCTATGTCACTTTCAGAATTAAGTCCAAACTCCTAGTGGGGCAGGTAATAATCTTCCCAATCTGGTTACATTCTACCCTTTCCAACCTCTCTCCCCATGGCTCCCCTCAGACCCTGTCCTCCAGCCTACTGTTCTACCACGTGCCCCAAAGCAACAAAGATCTGCTTATTCAGAACAAATATCGGCTCTCATGAAGGTCTGGTTCCACTCTACCTCTTCAGTAACTTCTCTCTGTACTTAACCCACAGTGCCCTCTCCTTCAAATTTCTAGAGCTCTCTTCTAGAACAGGCATGTAACAATATCCAGCATACTTTATAATGTGAGTTTCCATATGCATTATGTCATACTTCCTAACTACATTGCCCTGTTCTGTGTCCCCCACAGTGCCCTAACCGCTGCAAGTAGTCAATAAAGATTCATGACAAATCCATTAATGGATATACTTTCAATCATGACATGTCAGATTTGGGTGGGCACATCTACATACCTTTAAGATTTCAGGGTCTGAAACCATGGTTACTTGTTGTTTGATTTCAGGCTCCATATTCACAAGGTCTTCTTGTTTAATTCCAGGGTTTGTACATACAGGTGCTTCTAGCTTAAATTCAGGGTCTGCACCCAGAGGTGATTTTTGCTTGAATTCAGTGTGTGTATACATGGGAACTCCTTGCTTGGATTCAGAGTATGTACACATGGGAACTCCTTGCCTGTATTCAGAGTATGCATACATGGGAACCCCTTGCTTGGATTCAGGGTATGTACACACAGGATCTCCTTGCGTGGATTCAGGGTGTGTACACACAGGATCTCCTTGCTTGAATTCAGGATGTGTACACATGGGAACTCCTTGCTTGGATTCAGGAAGGAATCCTTCCTTGGAGCCAGGATCCATACACACGGGAACTGCTTGCTTGGAATCAGGGTCTGTAGAAACAGGAACTCCTTGTTTGGACTCAGGATCTGTACACACAGGAACTCCTTGCTTGGATTCAGGATTTGTCCACATGGGAACTCCTTGCTTGGATTCAGCGTCGGTACACATGGGAACTCCTTGTTTGGATTCAGCGTCGGTACACATGGGAACTCCTTGCTTGGATTCGGGGGCTGAACTCGTGGATCCCACCTCCTTGTCCAAAGTTATTAAACCCTTAGGTTTTTGGAAAAACCATGGAGATTTCTGTCCTGGCAAAAGATATGATGCCACACCCTTATAAAAAAGAGCTTTGTTTGGTCCCAAAGGTAACATCTCTTCTAGCTTTTTTTCACCTTGATGCAAGCGAAGAACTTTAGATATATGGTCTGCTACAGCTAAGATGATGTTCCCTTTTTTGTCAAAGTTCTCCTTTACAGAGGTATAGGAAGACAAGCACTTGTACCGAAAGCTTTCAAACATGCCTTCTGGAATAATATCGTTGCCAAGCAGGCAGGCCAGAAGAGGAAGGTCTGCCAGGCTGATATCTAGACTCTCACAGAGCTTCTCTCTACAGAGCATGACAGTATCGAGACTGTCCAGACAGAGCTCACTAATTGAAAAGTAGGGACAGGTATCATAGATTAAGTAGTCGGTGTCTTCTCCAAGAATACCAAGACAGTTATTCTGGAGGCCATAAGATGCCACCTCATAGTCGGCCTCTTGCAACGAACACAGAGTTTCCTGACCCAGGCTCTTCAAAGCAAATCGTGTAAATATGGCCAGCCCTGAGGGGATGAAGAACATGTTTCTGCCAGGCTGCTCCTTATGTGACTTGATATAATGGAAAATCCTAGAGATCTCCCTGTTGTTCTTTAGTCTTCGTTTCACCCACTCATCTCTCTTATCCTGCTCCACCGTGCCATCAAAGAAGAATATCAACCTGATGCCAACAGCTGTAAAAGTCTTAACAAAATCCTGCAAAGCAGAGAAGTATTCCCGCCACTGGCCACCGCAGATCCAAGATTCAGGAGTGTACCAGTATCTGAGACAACACATGGCATCAACCACAATGGTAGGAGTACATCCAGGATGCTTGCTTCGGTGGTGTTCCGCCAGTTCTTTGAAATTCACTACTGTACATATATGTGGGCAGGTACTGCCCACGAATCCCTGCAAACCTCTCACACCCATAACTGACCTCCTGGAAAGGATCTGGAAAGGAAAATAAATGAGTTATTATGACATTATCACTAGACATAGGATACCTTTTAAAGTAAATAAACAGAAGACAATGCTTAATATTCGCACTCTATTTTCAAAACACTCTAGGCACTAACAAGGTATGTAACATGGCATACCGGTTAGAAGCCTAGAGTTTTCACTGAAGACAAAGAGGAACCTTAACCTAAGCATGAGTCACCAGAGTCGGCCTTCATAAGGACAACACAGCGCAGCAGTCCTCTAAGATTTGTATTAAAACTGTTAATGAAGGGTAACAGTTTTCAAAAAGTCATCATTTCCCATCTAGGAACTCAAGCAGAAGTTAATTTTGAAAGCCCAAAACACAGACAGATGCACGTAACACGGACGCTTCTCAAAACTATCTTGCTGAGTGAAAGAACGTAGATCAAACGGGAATACACACCATGTGACCCGTTTGTATGAAATTCTACTTCACCGAGAGTGGGGCTGATCTGTGGCACCAGAGAGCAGGCGGTGGTGGTCTGGGGTAGGGCAGCTGGGAGGGAGGGATTTACATAATGCAAACTCTTAGAGTGATGGATACGCTCACTACCTTAATTGTGGTGATAGTTTCACGGGTAAACACAGGCTAACCCTCGTCAAACTGTAAACTGTAAGTGGTTTACTATTTATCAAGTATACCTGAATAAAGGCATCAAACAGAAAAACACATAAAACTTCACCCTGTCAAATGTAACATCTGAGCTGGTGACTGGCTTTCAGTGGAAAACTGTCTACTCTAAAATGCAAAAACAGGGGCACCTGGGTGCCTCAAGTCAGTTAAGCATGTGACTCTTGATTTTGGCTTAGGTCATGATCTCACAGTTTGTGGGATTGAGCCCCACATTGGGCACTGCACCGACAGCATGGAGCCTACTTGGGATTCACTCTTTCCCTCTCTCTCTGCGCCACCCCCACGGTCACTCACTCGCTCTCTCTCAAAATAAATATATAAACTTAAAAAAAAATGCAAACACTGACAAAGTAGTAAAAAGACTTCAAACTGAAAATCTGGCAAAATCCTAAGCAGAGTACTTTGTATAAAAAGTAAGGTGTCCTATGTATAATAAAGGATGTAACATATGACATTCTTTTTTTTTTTTTTTTAAGTTTATTCATTTATGGAGACAGAGCGCAAGCAGGGGTGGGCCAGAGAGAAAGAGGGAGACACAGAATCCAAAGCCGGCTCCAGGCTCGGAGCTATCAGCACAGAGTCTGACGTGGGGCTCGAACTCATGAACCGTGAGATCATGACCTGAGCTGAAGTCGGACGCTGAAGCCACCCAGGCGCCCCATGACATTCTTCAAGTAGGTAATAACATCTGTCACTGGTCAGAAAAAATTCCATGATGACACCTTTGATCTTAACGGCCTATAATTTTCACTTTGGTTTTCTTTTAAGACTCATCATGGCTTCATGTCCACCGACAGAACAAACAAAAAGTCCTTATTACACAAATAGCTATGGGAGGACAAACAACGCCTCTCCAGGCTCGGGACTGAGGGCGGCAGCCATCAGCTGCCAACACACATCGGTGACGTCCAGCCTCGCGGCACACTCGCCTCCTACCAGACGACACTGGGCACTCAACACACAAAATCTCCAGTCTTTAAAACATCTCTGACAGGCAAAACACTATAAGCTCTACTTTACAAGTGAAGAAACCGCAAATAAACCACTATGTTGAGAAAAGATACCCTCACACAGGACTGTCTTTTAAGAATTTATTGCCTGTTAATGGACACTGGCCCCTAGTAGGATCCAAAGTTGCGTATCTGTTTAATGGCCACGAATACTGAAAATATATAAACATGGAGTGGATATAAACCTCACACATTTATGTTGAAACTTAGAAAATCTTGCCCATTAAGTTACTGAATATACCCCCCAATCCACTGCGGAAAGAACCCTCATAGCATTTACCTCGGGAACATGACCAAGGTAGGAGTGTCTGAAGCCCAAGCTGGACTTCACGGTTATTTCAGCTACAAGGAAGTTCTACGGTTTGGGCCTCTGGGTGCGGACCCTCTGTTTACGAAGGTTCCGCTGTGTTTCTGAGGCCAGATGGTTTTTGTCCTGGTGTCCCAACACAGCAGTCTGGCCCAGGTTTGGAAAGAGAACCAAAGAACACACATAAGGGTGGTCAGGATGGATTAAAGAAACGATGCTTAGAGCGCATACACTGCAGGCCATTATTCGGTGCCCAGCTTTGAAAACAGCAGACTTGCGCGCTTTACTGAAGGCGGTCTTCCGGATTCCGACTCTGTCTGTACGATGACCTGAGACTCCCCCGCTTCCACCTTGTTCCCTGGGGGGTGCCCAGCATCCGACAGGGCCCACCGCCGGCGCAGGAGGATCCCCTCCCATCCAGCCCACCGGCGCCGGTGGGACCTCCCAGTCGGCCACTGGCTCGCTCAAGACGCACGTGGAGATCAAGCTGGAGCAAAAGAGATCAGTGCCCGCTCCCACACAGACGTGGGCTCCCATTTGTGCGGCGGCTCCGCCACATTCGGGTTGGCTGCCTTCCCTCACCAATAAAAAGGGATTTTTGTTTCAAGCATTTTTCTACTAAAACTGCAAGTGACAACACTGAGCTGCTCCAAACACTCTCCTCTTTATTTTGGGAGAAGTCAGGCTCAGCCTCTGCTTTGATTTTATTCAAATGTTTTCGTCCTTTCCCACCCAGCAGTGAAAAGCTCACCATTGTAATTAAACATGTACGGGTTTTTCCTCTTTCGCACTGCCAATTTCTCACATTCTGAATCGCAAATTACCTCAGGAATGTTCCGCTACGACGTGCTCTTCTACAGTATTTACAAAGAAAACCCCGGGCAGGCGAAGACCTGGGACTGGTGACTCTGGACGACGTCTTCCGGTCCTTCCAGCTCTGAGGCTCACGCCACCCACCCCTCAATGAGACGCCTAAGTTCACATGAAATGAAACGGCTAAGAAAATAAATTCTGTGGACACTACTGTTTTAAATAATTGTAGGTTTCCTTTTTTTGGTGAAGCCTTTTGCTGCGAAGAGCATGTACGGCTGACCCTTGAACACAAGTTTGAACTGCATGGGCCCACTTGTCATGGGTCCACTTGTACGTGGATTTTATATATACATACACACATATATATATAGTACAGTATTATCTTTTCCTTAGGATTTTCTTTTTTTTTTTTTTTTTTATTTTTTGGGACAGAGAGACAGAGCATGAACGGGGGAGGGTCAGAGGGAGACAAACCGACTGCGCCACCCAGGCGCCCCAGGATTTTCTTAATAATGTTTTCTTTTCTCTAGCTTACTCTAAGAATACGGTAGACAATACAAATGGCACACAAACTGTGTTAGTTGAGTGTTACCAGTACAGCTCCGTCAACATGCTATTAGGAGGTAAGTTCTTGGGTGGGGGTCAGAAGTTTATTTGCAGATTTTTGACTGTGCAAAGGGGCCAACTGTACTGAGGTTTTCATTCTTTAAAGGTGGTTTTAAAGGTGACTATAAATATACATGTACATATACCTACATATACACAATTTTCATTACCTAGATATCGTTCAGAAAGAAAACAGATGTCTCATTAGAGGAGTTTCTTGCCCAAAGTAGAATCTAGGAATCACTTCCATTAATGCAGGCCTCCTCAGGGCAGATGATGTCACTGTGTCACATCCCCAACACCCAGCACTGTGTCCGACATGCCAGGAGCCCAGTAAGTACTTGCGAATAAATGAATGAAAAGAAGGCATTGAAGTTTATGGACTCCGTTTGCAGGCAAATAAAGAGTGGGAAGCAGAGACCCTGCCCTCAAGGAGCTGACACTGATTTGGGAAACAAAGCCTCAAGGCAGGAAGTTGATGAAGGAGAAGCAGGCGCACAAGTACAGAGCATGTCACACGGGAAGGGGCCTCCTCCTAGGAACGGCGTCCCTCTATACAGCTGGACCCGTCCCAACATACTGGTTACCGGGAAGTGAGGACGCAGAAGATGAAAGAGAAATCCCGAAGTCTCTTTATTCACAACCTTCGACGATGAACCCTTAGAGAAATGAAAGGTGCAGTGAGTGCCTCAGCACAGACACATCTCCATACCGCCACTGACAGAAGGGGCCGAGTCCCTCTGGACACAGGGACAAATGGACTCGTGGACAACCCACAGACGGGGGGGCGGGAGGGACACCTCCTACCCAGAGATCAGTGTTTGCAGAAGGACAATTGGTAGCAGCAGCTCTGGCCACCCTAAAGCACCAGCATGCAACAACGTCAAAGCATACTTTTCCAATGAGCATGCAAGTTAACGAGGAAGTCTGTACAGGGGACGCTGGTTCAGAGGGCACCAAAGAGCTGGAGTTCACTGAAATGAGCTATTTTCAGCCGGAGACAAATTCAGCTGAAGACCTACAAAGCAATGAAATCAAAACTTTGGGGTTTACGTTTATCAGACAGAAATAATTTGTATCTGTACAAGACAAAAACCTATAAATTGACACATGGAGCATCAGCATCTGGGCTCTAATCAAGAGTAAGTGGCAAAGTCAGAGAGGCACATTGGGTTAGAAAACCAAACAATCTTGGGTGAATCTGTTAAATAACGGCCTGCACGATGGTGACAAAACACACGGTCCTCCTTTTTCTTTGCTTCATTTCCAAGTCAGGTGTTTCCTTCCCCGGTCACATGCTGGCAGGGCCTGCGCCTCAGGAAGGTCACCTTGTCGCTGGACGTGGGGCTTCTTTCCCTGGCTCCCCACCAACCTCACCTACAAAGGGAAACCGACAGGGACCCCCTTCAGCACAGCAAGGCAAGAAAGAGGACTGAAAACTCCGTGACATGAATACCTATGCCACAGCAGCACATGGGACAGGGTTAGCTCAGTGTTTACTGAATATTCATGAATGCACAAACCAGGTGAACAAGCAAGCTGCAGGCGGCCTCCACTGCGCTGGTGGCCATGCTTCGGAGCCCCTCCACCCAGG